AATACACACACACACACACCACACACACACACACACACGTTTCCTGTGATTACAGTGAAATTAATTAACTAACTAAGGGTGAATATAAATGCGGTTAAATATACATCAAAGACATAAACAATGGCTAAACAAACAGGATGCACACAATAAGAATGTAGTGGAGCTCAATGTGAATTTAGTTGGTCTGAGTTATTGTGGAGAAGGATTTGATTCTAAGAGAGAAAGAGAACTAATAAACTCATAGTGATATGATAATTGTCACGGTTTGGTGTGGGTGAGGCAGGTTGGAGGACCCAAACGCAGGACGCAAGGCAGGAAGAGGTATAGTACAAAGGGGTTTTAATAAACAAACAAAAGGAGAGCACACTTACAAACTGAGTGGCTGATGACAGAGTCCCAAAACAAAGGCTGTCCAACAGAAATCCAAAAGGATGAAAACCAGAATCCAAAACTGAGCAGGGTAACAGGGAGACACGGTGAGTAAGGCTGGAGACACGAGACACACTGCTACACAGGGTGACACCATACAATGACCCAACAAAGACAAGACAGAAACACCAGGTATATATACACACACACAGGGACTAACGAGCAGGGCGGGAGCAACACAGATGAAAGACATGAGGCTAATGAGGCACAGGCAGGGAGAGAGAGCAGGGGAAAACAGAGCCTCACTTCACTGGTTCCACGAGAGAACAATTGATCCTCTCACTAGGGAAGAAATGGTTATTTAACTTTAATTTCGAGCTGGAAAATTAATTAAGTAGCACAGGATAATATTTCTGTATCATATCATTTATAAAGGAAGTGTCAGAAAGTGTTGGGGATAAAGCATTAGTTAAAACATGATTTAAAGGAATGTCAGTGATCATTGCTGAAAATTAAAGAACACTGCAAAATTAACTTATTTGTGGTTTTCTTCTTTTCAACAGCAACAACATGGTAATACAACTACTCAAATTAACGTGGAAAGACCTACTAAGTAACTTAAAGATTCATTTAATTAAAACATGTAATAGGCAAGTTTATAGGGAGACAATATTCATTTGTCCACACAAAGGAATTCGGGGCAGCGTCCTGCTCTGGTGTCTGGAGTTTCTCACACCTAGATGTGAAAGTGAGAGGGCATGTTAAGATTCCAAATTAATGGCTCTTTAATGGGGTAGAGAGTCAAGACTGAAGAAGGAGTCTTTGATGTCTGAGGTAATCTGAAAGAGGAACTTTGTTACCACAGTTACCCCTGCCCTTTTGGTCTTGGGAGTGTTTAGAGGTCGTTTAGTTTATGGCTGCTGAGGTCCCCACAGCCTGGTTCAGGCTGAAGTTAGTCTCTGTGTAATGTTAATATTGTCAGCTTAACAGTCATGCATAGAGTCTGTTATCTCAACTTCACCAGAGCTGGAAAATTTTACGATTGGACCGTCCAAAACAGCACATATAGGAAAGCAAACCTTTCACTTTAGGTTTTGATCAGCCCGTCACCCCCCTTTTCCTCAGGGAGAGACAAAGAGATTTTTTGGACACTGGTACACCATGAAGCCAGAGGAGTCCGGACAGATGCAGACAGATGACGGCAGAAATCACTGATGTTGTGGATTTTCCTAGATGGAAGGCTATAATGTGGGACAGATGTTTTCAAAGCTGGACAGGTAATTAACTAAAGTTAGACTTTAGCGATGCAAATGATATGTAGAAAATATATGTAGTTGGATTGTAATTTCATGTAGTTCTTCTCCAGTCTCTGTTACGGCTTTGTTATGTGGACAGAAATGTGCCCTTACCTTCCTGAGTCAAACAGCTGATGAATATTATTGGCAATAAAACGGAAACAGCAGCTCATATCAGCCAGCTAAGCTTCACATTTTACCGCCCTGGTGGAAAACATGTATTTCTTTTTACTGTTAGTGGTGATATGTGACTTGACTTTCAGAATTTGTTTTTTTGGACATTGCTTCACCACTGTGCACACATGTGTAATTTGTACTTTCACATGCTAAATGCCCATTAAAAACGTTTTACCACAAGCTAAAATTATGGCTGTTGTGTATTTTGGGCTACAATGAGATCCGTAGTGAGATACGCCTAACGGATTGTGGCTAACCTTCAGTCTCTCTCGTAGTTGTGATGAACCATGCTGTTGCTGTGACATGCGTTGTAACAATAAACGGTTAATGTTACGTCGTAGTCCGGGGTATGATATTATATCAAGTAACAAGAAGATGGAAGGATATAACAAAAAGTGGCGACGAGGACGTCTGGACCGACGCTTGCTCTACGCGACGGAGGAATTTTGCATTTTCTCTGCGGTGCCACCCGCTGCCAGGTGATAGCCGGGGTGCGGATGTGTTTGCTGTGTGTGCTGAGGTGTAACGTTATGCACTGCGGCCGGCTGAGCGGGAAGGAATAGAGCAGTGAATACCACCCGGTGCGAACTGTAAGTAGCCCCGGATATTGACAGGACTGAAGTCACAGGCAGGAGCCGTCTGTGAGGACAAGAGTGCCGTATAGCCAGGAGACCAAAATGGCTGGAATTATCGGCTCAATCGGTCCCTTTGATGAGAGCGCGGAGCAATGGAGCGTTTTTGACTATTTGGTCATGGCTAATGGAATAGATGATGATAAGTTGGTGCCCACTTTCTTGAGTATGATAGGCCCAAAGACTTTTAACTTGCTACGCAACCTTTTACAGCCAGCAAAGCCAGGCAGTAAAACCTACAAAGACATTGTGGTAACACTGACTAACCATTTTTCATCCAAGCCTCTGGTGATCGCAGAAAGATTCTGGTTCCACAGACGGAATCAAGAAGAGGGTGAGTCTGTCACCATGTTTGTTGCAGCATTACGCAAGCTAGCTAAGTACTGTGACTTTAAGGATGTTTTAAATGACACATTAAGAGACAGGCTTGTGTGTGGATTAAGAAATGAAGCAGCATAGAAGAAATTACTCATAGAAAGTGACTTAACGCTTGAAAAAGACATCAATATCAGTGTCACAATGGAAATGGCATCAAAGGAAGCTTATCAACTGCATGCTTCTGGCAGAGTGCATAAATTTAGCGGTGACACAGCAAATGCACAAGGGCCATGTTTCTGCTGTGGCCAATCAGGACACCTTGCTACTGACTGTTGGTGTAAAGAGATGGATTGTCACAATTGTGGGAAAAAAGGCCATGTTGAGCGGGTATGCACAAACAAAAAACGCAAAGACAAAAGCTCAAATACTGGAAGTAAAAAAGAGACACTAAAACATAAAAAGGGAAGACATGTTCACACACTTAAGCATGGTAACAACAGAGCGAGTGATTCCTCAGAGGAAGAGCTGTCGACTGCAGTAAACACTGTACGGATGAAAGCTCACAAGGGTTTTGGGCCAGACCCAAACTGGAAGCACATTCTGTAAAGATGCAGATAGACACAGGATCACGGGCATCACTAGTGTCATACAGAATCTACAGGAAGTTCATGAAGCACCTACCACTATCTCCTTCAGACCCAGATTTTAAGGGGTATACTGGTCATCGAGTGCCCATAAAAGGAATGACTAAGGTGACTGTTCAGTGTAATGGCCACACTGCCAAGTTGCCAGTTTAAGTTACTAAGAGAAATTATCCTGCCATTATGGGGCGTGCTTGGCTAAAGGAAATCCGTCTTGACTGGCAATAAGTGAGGAAGCTGTCGCACAGTTCCACTTGCCTGCAGGCCATACTGGGAAAGCATGATGAGGTTTTCCGAGATGAGTTAGGCAGAATGAAAAAAATCACAGTAAAGCCACATGTGAAACCTGATAGTAAACCTGTGTTTAGGAAAGTAAGACCAGTGCCATACGCCATCCAACCCAAGGTGGAGGCTGACCTGGACGCTCTGGCCAAGAATGGGGTTCTGGAGCCTGTGACAACCAGTGAGTGGGCCACGCCTATCGTTACGTTACCCAAGAAGGACGGGGGGATCTGGACCTGTGGATTAAGGTAACACTCGATCTGGTGCTAGCAGCAGAGCAGTACCCCCTTCCCCTGATTGATGACTTGTATGCTGGACTGAGTGGGGGACAAAAAATCAGCAAAATCGACCTCAATCAGGCTTACTTACAAATGCATGTAGAAGAAAGTCACGGGAGATGCTTACTATTAACACACACAAAGGACTTTTCAGATACTGCAGACTGCCTTTTGGTATCACGTCAGCCCCAGCACTGTTCCTAGACGATATCCTGTGCACTGGAGCAAATGATGAAGAGCACCTGCGCCACCTGGATGCTACTCTCCAGAGATTGAAGGAATATGGCTTGAGAGTCCACAAGGAGAAATGTGAGTTTTTCCAAGTATCTGTGGAATACTTGGGACATGTGATTGACGCTAAGGGGCTTCACACTGCACCGTCAAAAACCACAGCCATTGTGGATGCACCGCCGCCCGAAAATATCAATCAGTTAAGGTCTTTCTTGGGGCTGTTGAACTATTATGGACACTTCATTCCAAACTTGGCATCACTACTGAAACCAGTGCATGACCTTCTACAAAAGGAGAAAGCATGGAAGTGGACGGCCAGCTGTCAGGAAGCTTTTCAAAGGGCGAAAGATGCACCAACATCATCTGAGGTACTTACCCCTTCAACCCATCGCTTACAATTCAGCTCGCCTGCGACGCCTCTCCTTACGGTGTCGGGGCGTTGATCTCTCACATTTTGCCGGATGGCATGGAGAAGCTTTTGCGTCAAGGACATTAAACAAAGCAGACCAATTATGCTCAACTGGAACGCAAAGCTTTGAGCATTGTATTTGGAGTCAGGAAATTCCATCAGTACTTGTATGGAAGGAAATTCTCGCTCCCTACGGACCACCGACCTCTCACGACCACTCTCGGCCCATACACTGGTATACCATCCTTGCTGCCTCCCAACTACAGAGGTGGGCGTTGCTGTTGTCAGGACACTCATATGACATTAAGTATCGCAAGTCAGACTCCCATTGCAACGCGGATGTTCTATCCAGATTGCCGCTTCCTTTCATGAAGCCGGAGTCAACTAGGGAGGACATTTTCTACTTCAGGGAGGTTGAAAAAGCACCTGTTTCGGCTCTCCGGGTAAAAAAGGAGACCAGAACTGACCCTCTGTTGTCTGCTGTCATGAACATGATTGCCGGGGGTCAACCTGCTCGGGGTGATGCAAACTTGAAATCCTTCCTTGGACGGCGGTCGGAGCTGTCTGTTCAGTCGGGCTGTTTGCTGTGGGGGAGGAGAGTGATTATTCCCTTGTCACTCCGAACCCAAGTATTGCGACAACTTCATGCAGGACACAGTGGGATAGTGAGAATGAAGGAGATAGCGAGGAGAAGCTACTTTTGGTGGCCAAACATGGCCAAACAGATTAAAGACTTGGCAAAAAACTGTTCATCTTGTCACAAGGTTAGGAACAACCCACCACTAGCTCCTCTTCATGCCTGGGAGTTCTCACAGGAGCCATGGCATCGTGAGCACATTGACTTTGCAGGTCCATTTGAGGGCAAAATGTTTCTTGTCGCTGTTGACGCACACAGTAAATGGCCTGAAGTGGCTATCGTGAAGTCAACTACCACAGAAAAGACAATAGAGAAGCTAGGAGAAATGTTTAGTCGTTTTGGATCTGCTTCACAGTTCGTCTCTGACAATGGACCTCAACTTGGCTCAGAGGAAATGCATGCCTTCCTGCAAGCGAATGGAGTGCAACACATTAAGTCAGCTCCATACCACCCTTCGACAGAACGGCCTTGCAGAAAGGTTTGTCCAGATGATGAAACATGCACTGAAAGCATCTCAAGGCCAAGGAACACTGCAACAAAGACTGTACAATTTCTGCTAAACTACCGCAGCAGTCCACATGCCACAACAAAGACATCTCCTGCCAGCCTGATGTTTAAGAGAGATCTGTGCACCACTTTCGATCTCTTGAAACCATCAGCAGTGAAGGACACTGTTCGGAGGTAACAAGAGAAGCAGATTATGCGAAGAGATCATCAGGCCAAGGACAGAGTTTTCACTTAAGGAGAATCGGTGTTGGCCAGGAACTACAGAGGCGAACCTAAGTGGGTTCCTGCAACTGTTCTTGCACAAACTGTATATATAGTATCTATCTCAACTCTTACAAACTCCTACTGTGCACGCAGAGCCGTCTCTTGGAGATTCGTCAGATGCACCTCCACACTCACCAGTTCACCTACCTACACAAGTGCAGAACTCCACTACACCAGAAACAAGCTTTCCAGTTGTGAACGAGACTGTGACACCTTGTTTTGCATCAGCATCAGAACTCAGCCCTCCATTGGAGTGCAAAAAGACTGATGTTCCTGCAGACTGCCGATACCCCACCAGAGAGTGCCAGCCTCCTGCATGCCTGAATTATGAGGCAAGATAGTAGCTGACCTAAGTCAACGGGGCAGAATAATCCCCATAGGTACAGTCAGGGCCGAGGTAGTCTACCCTCACCCCTAAGGTAGCACAGAGAAACAGATGTGAAGTAAAGTTGCACTAGTTACTTACTGTACACAGTAAGCTGGGCAGCAAAAGAAAGTTGTAATGTTCATGTTTTAAAGAACATGTATGTTATTTGGAATTGGTAGCCTACAGCCTACTCTTTATTTCCCTCATAAATACAGAAACAGAAGGGGGGAGGTCACATTAACTAGAAATAAAAGATGTTAAGCAATACTAGCCTGAGTATTACTTGTTTTTGGACCGTATAGGAATTAAGTGGTATTGCACATCACTAATATTCATGCAACTGACTTTTTTAAATATTGCCACTTCTTTTAACTTTAAACATGGCTATGGCAAACACATTACCGGGTCATACATTTGACTTGGTTTGTAAGCATTCCTCTGTGGAATTACTGGATATGACCATCTGACCACAGATGGATAGTTTTTAACTGTGAATCACCAGTTACTCATACTGCCTCATCAAGCTCCTTGTGTCCTGGCACCTTAATGAACAAAGCATTTAAAGGTTTGCACATTGTTTTAAGAATCAAAGCAACACCTGTTTGATTGTCACACCAATGATCTGGCCAACCATTTCAATCAGATTGCTTGTCCTCATTAAACTTATTGCACCTCTCAAGGTTAGCCTAAGTCTACAGCTAATAAGCAGACCAGGATAAACAACAACATTCGCAGCTGTAAAAGTAAATGCAAAAGCAGAGTGCAGATCCAGTCTCAAAGTTCATTACCTCAGTATGGAGGACTACAATAACGTGGTTAAGGATGCGAGAACACACTATTTTTCTGAACACATTGCCGGTAAATTCAGCCCCTCTGTGCCTCAGCTGAAAGTGTTGATGATTATGAATTGTTTCATCTTATTTTACTGATACTATGGTGTCGAATAGAGCCTCTATTACCCTCTCTGCCTCTTACTCAGAGGTCCCTCACCAGCAACAACATATTTTAACCAATTTTATCCATTGACTTGTCTGAGTTTTTAAAACAGTATCACAGATGGGAGTGTCTTCCAGCCCACTTGATGTAATACCAACAAAGTTTTATTGAAGTGATGGACTTTGTTGGGCCCTATTGCTTTCTGTTTTTAACAAATCCCTATCTACCATTTGTGTCCCTGACTATTTTAAAACAGCTTGTGTGAACCCACTATTAAAAAGCCTGGTCTGGATTACTGCCTCCAAAATTTGAATCCAATTTCCAAATTATCTTCCATATCAAAGATGTTAGAAAAAAATGTGTTGAAACAACTGCTCTGCACGCTGGAAAATAACAAAATGTTTGAAAAGTTTCAGTCTGGTACCCAAGCGGGAAGCTTCCGGTCAGCAATCTGATGCGAACGGCCAGCAGGGGGTGACTCTTCTGGTTGCAAAAAGAAGTTCTGCTCCATTAGAAATAATGGCAAAATGACCGTACTTCCCAGCTGAATAATTACCTCAGTAAACACTTTCCTGATGAGTTTATGATCTCAATCACTAGTTTCATGTTTTCTTCAATACAAAATGATGTCCATAAATAATGTAAGTAAATAATGGTCCCATTTATTTTAAAATAGACCATAAAGCAGAGTATGTTTCAGGGCAGGATTATCTATGATTGACAAGTCATTACCATGGCATGATCTGTCAATCAGGCTAGAGCTGAGTCGTACCCACGGCACTGTGTAAATTTAACCAGCTTATAAGGAGCTGTTCACTTTCTCTGGTGAGTACATTTAGTTTTAAGACTGTTGTTCACTACACAAAGTTATCAGCCCTGTTAAAATAACAGTGAATGTGAATTACAGATGAACCTAATTAAGCAAGCTAGCTAGCTCCGCACATGGCCGTTAGTGCCGCCATCTTGTCCAAATAAGGCACTTCCTGGTTGCCGAACTCGAGGCTTCAACTGCAGTCCACAAACCAACAGGTGACATCATGATGATTACGTCCACTTCTTATATACAGTCTATGGAAGTACCACAGCACTGAGACTGACCTGCTTATAGTCGCCAATAACCTTTTAATGTCTGCTGATGATGGCTTCCAGTACCAGTACTCCTGGACCTTAGCGCTGCATTTGACACCATTTATCACAACATCATGTTAGACAGACTGAGGTACTGGGTGGGGATATCTGGTACTGCTTTAGAATGGTTATCATCAACCTGTCATAGGAGGTTCTGTGTGTGTGAATAACTATGTCTCTTCAATCTGTTCGGTTAAATATGAAGTGCCTCAGAGGTCAGTCTTAGGACTCATTTTTATTTTTCTTGTGACACTGAGACCATCTTAGACGGGTTTACTCATCATCACACCTGGATTACTGCAATAGCATTTTTCCTTGTTTGATCTATCTATTGATCGACTCGAGACTGTCCAGAAAAATTTGATGATACCACCCCGTTTTAACATTACACTGGCTCCCAGTATATTTTAGTATAGATTTTAAAATTACTTCATGGCTTCTCCCTGTTATATCTCTGACCTTTTAGTCCCATGCACGCCAGCGCGTACCTTAGATCCTCAGGCAGAGGTCCGTTGTCTGTTCCAGAGTCTCAACTGAAAACTAAAAGGGACAAAGCTGTTTTGAAAATAAGATTTTTTTTTTTTTTTTTTTTTTTTTTTTTTTAAATTCTTATTCTTACACAGGTAGCACTGGCACATGTATGGAATGGTGAGAAAAAGTTTCTGTCAGCTGGGGTTTAAAATGGCTGCTGTCATCCAGTTGACCAACGTGAGGCAGTAATCAACTCTGCTAGTCCAATCCATACATTGCACGTCTTCATTCAACGCGCCAACAACACAGCATAGTTCAACATAGTTTAAGCAGCACTGGTTCAGAAAAAATACTCCAATTGGACAACATACATTTGCATTAGCGCAAGTAGGACAATGAAATTAGGTAATACCCCATAAACTGGCATTTTTCATCATACAATGTTAACAAGTGCAGATGAATTGTATTTCATGCCCGGACCTAGCACACTGCACACACAGGAGCATAGAACACGCACACACCACATACAAGAATACAACGCGCATGCAGACAAACACGCACAGACACCCCATACACATACACACACACACACACACACACACACAGGTATTTAGGATTGGCCATTTAGCCATTTGTCCATTTAGTCATTTGTCCATTTAGGATTGGCCATTTATGATTGGGCATTTGGGCATTTAGGCATTTAGGACTGAGTCATGTATGCATGAAGAGGTGTGGCCTGAAGGCTGGAGGGAGGGTTTGAAACGGCTGAGGCGAAGAGGCACTTTATGGACTGCTGGGGGGGCTCTGACTGCCAGCACACTGCTATGAAACCAAGCAGAGCAAGTGAGCAGGCCTGAAGTGAGGACTATAATTTTTAATACCATAACTAAAAGCGTACAGCATTTCTGTCCATGTGCCTCACACACAAAGTCAACAGTGAAAGGAGCGCTATCTGTCTGACGAGAAAGCAGCGGACAGTACAGCAGGTAAGATATGCTAACATTAGCAATTTAGCTTTAATAGGCTAAATGTTGCTGACATGCATGAGTAACGTTAGTACATGCAGGTTTTTAAAAATGCGGCTAACCCCGCTGTGGGCGTGTGCATAAACTGTAAAAATAAGCTGTAGAAGCTGTGTTTGTGATTAACAGCACCATGCTGGGTAGGTGACAGGTGTGTGTTTACAGTGTTTGTGCTCTGAAAAACACAACAAGTCTCATTTTGTTTTTCACTTCCCTGTGTTTCGAGTCTTCTCGTCTGTCCCTGTTTGTTATTGTCCCATACTCAGTCTAATGGCTCCCGCTCAGCTGCGTCTCTACCAAGCGGCAACCTCCGGCTCTCAGTTCCGATACCAATACGGAAGTATCTGAAACTGCAATTCATCGAGTGGCCACTTGAGGCTGGCTGCAGAAGTGAGTCAATCTCCATTGACCCCCATGTTAAAAAGCCCAACTTTACAGCAGAATAAAACATGTTTACAGCCTGGTTAAAAAAATGGTTTTAGTGCATATCGCTAATTTTGCCCTTCGTGACAACTGTGAGGGGGGTGAATTTTTTTATAACTCACCTGTTTAAATTATATTAAGCCTTAAAGTTCTGCGTTATTAGGGGCGTGGCCGCTTTGATTGACAGGCAACTTTAGCCACTGCCACTCCTAGCACTCGGTCCCCGTCTGTTAGCCTCACTCAGCCACACGAAGCTCTGAGGCTCAGTCTGTCCGAGCCTTTTGGACATTTCTACATGCAGATACTGGATGAATAATGGCAGGCTGTGCAATTTGTTGGAGAGAGAACCTCCAGGAAATCCGTGTTACTTGGTGAGTGAAATTCCTGTATTTTATTTATGTGTTAACATTTAACAGCTGTCGCTGTCGGCATATAGCTTGTT